GCCCCTCTAAACCTCACTTCCCTCAGCTGCAAAGCAGGGATTTGTTCAAAACTTAGCAGACTGTCCAGAGGATCTTGTAAGATTGTGTTAGTTGCATCCCGCAGAGAGCTCAATAGGGGAGCTGTCAAGCCCTTGACAGGTATTTCAGGCGGGCCTCAGTGCTCCATGCAGCCGGGATGAGCAGATGACCTGTGTTCCCTGCCTCTATCACACCTGGAGCTGAGGTTGGGGTGGAACAAACTGGCTAGTCTGGGCTAGGCCTGTGGCCTCTCTGCTGCCCTTCCAGTGGCCCCAGCCCCTCCAGTCTGTCCCCCACAGGCAGCCAGAGGGACTTGTGCACAGCGAGTCAGATCACACTCTGCCTCTGCTCAGAGCGCCATCGTGGCTCCCAACTCCCTGAGTTGAAAGTCCACGAGACCCGTTTTCTCTCTCTCTCTCACTCTCCCCTCACACCTTTCCACTCATCTTCTACCCCTGTCCCCTCGCTCCTCATTCCACACTGGATCATCCTAACCCACAGCAGGCATGCTTCTGCCTCAGGGCCTTTGCACTGGCTGTTCCCTCTGCCTGACATGCTCTTCCCCAAAATAGTCATCTCTTTTAAAGTGTTTGTTCAGATGCTTCCTTCTCCAGGCAAACTACCATCCTGAGCATTTCCTGTCCCCATTCTCTGCGTTTATTCTCTCCTGGTCACCTGTTACCTTCTAACCGTGTATTTATCCTTTTTTTTTATCGCCCTCTGACTAAAGTGTGAGAGCAGAACTTGTTTTTCTGCTTTTTTTTCCTTCTTTTCATTGCTGTATCTCCATTGCCTAGTACAGGAGTTGCCACATAGTAGGTAACTCGACAAATATTTATTGAATAAATGATTGAGCAGACTGGTGGTCTGCAAGGACCTCTCTGAGGTCACCTTGCAGCTGAAACCTGAAGGACTGCAGAGAAAGGGGAGAATATTGCCAGTGGAGGAAACAACTTGAGTCGAGGCCCTGGTGTTCGAAAGAGATTGCACTTACGTATTGAGAGATCAGTGAAGCTAGAAAAGTGAGAATGTGTGATGCAGGCTTCCTGTTACATGCACAGTAAAAACAAAACACTTTTATTGTCCACAAGGCCCATTGTTGCCTTTTAAACCTTATTTCCTTTTGCTCTTTCTCATGCTCATTCTACTGAAGACACCCTGGCCTCTGTGTTCCCCAAACACACCAGGCACCTGCCTGCCTCAGGGCCTTTGCACTTGCCATTCCTTGTGCCTGCAGTGCTGTTCCCCAGAGAACCAGTGGCTCATGGCTCACTCTTACTCAGCGCTGCTCAAATGGCACGTGACCTTCCGTGACCCTCCCCCGTCTGAAATAGCCACCCAGCCATCATCCAGCCGTTCTCCTGATCTCACATAGCTGATGAATTAATTACGTGTCTCTCCTCCAAGAGTAGGGCTGTTTGGTTCTTGTTTATGCCTGTGATTTCAGCACCCACAACAGTGTCTGGCACATAGCGCGTGCTCAGCAATGAGCAGAGTTTTTTGCACCCCTCCTACAGACCAGGGCACCACCCAGGGCAGGCTGACCAGACCCTGAATCCCAACAGTGGGGAAGAGCAAGCATCAGCAAGTGCTTATCAAATGACTGACTGAAGGGCCTGGCCCTGCTCTTGTTGAAGCTGTCCTGAAGGCCAGATGGGAGGGCTGGCTCGAACCTATATTCGCCTCCCCTTCTCTGCCTCAATTTCCTTAACTGGAAAAGGGGTAGGGGTGGGGAAGGTGGCCCTTGTCCTGGAGACTTGCACACATCCCAAGGATTTGGGGCCTAAGTTGGTGTGGTAAAGGCTTTCACATCTGCCAGAGACCCAGCTGATGGGCACCAGCAGGACTATGGGGCTTTAGTGTGAGAGTCACAGAAAGGTCTGTTTGAACTGACAGGCCCGCAGGAGCTCTTTATATTGCTCTGTCCACTTTTGTGACAAAAAGAGCAATAACCACAGGAGAACAAGCGTTCCATTGCAAGACATGAACCAGAACCCCTGTATTTCAAATCTATGACAGGACCACATGGGATGGGAGGGGGGCAGGGAGGAGCCAGTCACGTGGGATCGCAGCATTTGACTGCACACCGCCTACTAACACACAAAACGCTGTCAACAAACACGGAGTCCCCCCCGCTTGTCACGGTGGCCCGAGTTAGCAATTCTGCAGCTGCCCCGGGAATGAGCAGTCAGACCGTGGCCAGCGGGAGGCAGCCTTGGAACGGTCACAGGGTGGACAGACAAGCGGGGAGAGGGTGTGGCACGGGGGTGGGAGAGGCAATCGTGTCAAGGCTGTCTCGCCTTGATGAACGGATGAGGTCCTTATCGAAGCCCAGGTTTTGTTCAGATTCCCCGACTCTGCCTGCCCGGCCTCTGACCCCGGGTGGCCCACCACACGCAGCCTTCATTCCTACGACTTTCCCGGGTGGTGGCTGTTTTTCCACCACCTCTGAGAACGACCGGGCAGGTATTTTGTTAACAGGCTCCTCAAATGGGATTGGCCCGACGTCTCTTCTAACTGGACCGGGGCTATTTGGGGGAGAACCAGAGGTACCACTCAAACTGTCCACATGATTCGTCACCGTTGATGTGGACCCCGATCACCTGAGGGGCGAGTCAGGTTCGGGCACTTAGGTTGCCTCCTGCTTCCCACACTGCACAGCCCACATCTGAGGAAGGTTAGTGCGCCCCCTTGTGGGCAGAACAGCTACAGAAATGACGGGTTAGTGTTCACTGACCGCTTGTGTCAGTGCCTGGATCACTGACCCCTTGTATCAGTACCGACTTGTCTACTTTATACTTTGGGTAAACTCCAACACCACTGCTTAAGTTTTTAGCTATGGCCTCTGGGAGTTTCCAGCTGCCCCCGGCCCTGTGACGTGGCACACCTCCATCAGCGAGCTGGATTTTTCTTCTTTGAGCAGGTTCTTAATTTCGGGCCCTGTGAGATGCTCCATGTCTTGCTCCCCTCCCAGAATCATTTTTATACTATTCTTGAAGAGTTTCAAACTTTTCTGTAACTCTATTTCAAAATCACAGTTAAAAATAAGTGAATCATTTCTTTTTGGGAAAGCTGATATGCTTTAAAATACAGCAGTGGAATGTAGGCCACAAAAATTTAAAAAGCACAAGCGTGGTACAGATGGACTGTTGAGGTTTAGCACAGCACTGAGAGGAACAAAAAAAAACCCCAAGAAACCGGAAACCAAGTCAATTCTTGTCAACAGGGGGCGGCTGACTCAGTTGGGGCTGGAAAGCGTGACAGTGATGTGCCAGCGCACCCCCAATTGCAGTCAGGTGACCGGGGCTCTCCTATTAGTGGCAACACCCCTGATCTGTGGGGGAGGTGGGGTGAGATGCAGAAGAACAGCCTGGGCTTGGCCTTAGTGACTGGGCAGAATCATGCATAAGGGGGATCAGCCATTTTCAGGCTGCCAGGCCATCTGCACAGAAAGTAATGTGAGGGCCCATAGCCTGGTACCTGGGGGCCCTCTTTATCCTCCATGCCTGCATCTAGCGGAGTTCTCCCCCGACACGAACCTCATGAAACCATCTAAATGCACAAGACAAAGGACAGATTCATCTCAAAATTTTTCTAATTGGCAAAATTTTATTCACTCTTCTACCTTTTCCCTTCTGGGGACAAGTCCTCCCACAGAGGTGAGCAGCACCAACAATGGAAGGCCCTAGGTTCAGCCAGGAGAAGCAGCTGATGAGCTGTGGCCCTGCCCCAGGGGAGACTCAGGCTGTCCCCAGGGCGGAGGGGCAGGGAGCACCCCTGAGCTAAGGGAAGCTGTCCCAGGACACCTTCAGGGGCTGGGACTAGTAGGAGCGCAGAAGCTTTTCTTCACAGGCCTCTGCCGCTCATGACTACCAGGCCTTCATTACACACAGTGCATGTGAAGTTTGAAAAAATAATCCGTTGACTCCCAGCTGTAGTCAGAGGCAAACAAATGTCTATGAACAGGCTGCCGTTCCACTGCCCTCACCGCTGGGTCCCCAAAATAGGCCTGCGGAGCCCTAACACCTTCTGGCAATACCTGACATCAAGTCCACCAGTGCATGGCCTCAGCAGCGCCGCTCCAGGCCCCAGAGGGGGAAGTCAGAGGAATCCTAGAGGTGGCACTGCAGTGACCAAACACTGAGGTGCTCCCAGCTAACAGCACCCACACGTCCCCGACACACCCATGATTCTATGTGCGTTTAGCATGTGGAAGGGGACAGGAAGTGCCCTGCTGCAGGGTTCAAAGGCGGTGAATGGGACCTCCCTACTGGGGCAAGAGGTTAAGTACAGCACTATGAAGCAATCCGCAGAGCAGCCACTGCAGCACGAGTTCGATCCCCCCTGGCTGGCCAGGGAGCAACCCACATGGCGCAGCAGGCCTCTCCTGTCTTGCCCGCTGCTCCCCTCAGCAGTGGATTTCAGTCAGTCTGCCTGTTCTGTTCCCCACTCTGTCTCTGGTGAATCCTCTCACCCCCTGCACCTCTGGCCTGTACCCCAGTCTTTGTATGCATAAACAGCTAAATCTTTAAAAAAAAAAAGTTTTGCAACGGACACACCTCTCACTGACTTTGGGGCGCAGCAACACCTTGCACACCATCCTTGATCAGAGCCGCAGACCCTCCCACCTCTCTTCGCCAAAGCAGCTTCTGGGGCCTGGAGACTCACCTTGCCACCCCCACACCAGGCCTGGTGAGCCTTCCAACTCCTCAGCAGCCTCCACCCCGCAGCCGCCTCCCCCTACCAGCCTGAGCACACCCCCACCCACTCCCCACCTCAGCGACAGGGCCTGTGCACTGAGCAGGCAGAGCAGGAGGCCCGACTCCCTAAGCAAGGAAACGCCCAGGGTGGGGGCCCAGTCTGAAACGAGTGTTTTTATTGCTGTACCGTACAAATACAAGGACTGGGGGAGGCCGGGGGGGAGGAGGAAGAATTGTCAGATAAACATACACACACACAGAGGAAAAAAGACCCCCCCCTCCCACCCACACCAACCCCCACCCCACCCCAGGATGTCTTTCTGTGAACTACCTAGTACAGGAGGTGGGGTGGGGAGATCAAAACCACAAAAACTAAATCCAAACACCTGGAGATGTTGAGGGGGAGCAAGGGCAGCAAGTAGGACCTCGGGTGCGGCTCCCTCACTGGGACAGCATCCCTCCCCCCGGGGATGAAATGCTCAGGCCAGGGACAGGCCCAAGCCACATACACCGCGCACACTTGAGGCCGGGGCACCCTTGTCCTCACACACACACACCCAACACGCATGCCACACACAGCGCGTGCCTCGTGTCCCAGACGCCCGAGGACACGGGCCGAGACACACGCGCGCGCCCGAGCACTGACACATGTTCACCTTAAGGCTGCAGAACGTGGCCCCGAGAGGGGGAGGGGGAGGTGGTCTGACACCTCCTCAGAGGCCCCCACCCCAAGACGTACCAGACACCCCCACCCCTCCTCAACCCTGTCTCCGGGGCCCAATACTGTCTCGGTGTGAGATGTGTAACAGCCGAGGCTGGCGCCACCCCCCCACCCCCAAGGAGCGGGCGACCCTGCATGGGGCCAAGGCCAGGCCTGGGGTCCAGCGGGAGGCAAGGCCGGCTGGAAGGAAGCCTTGGTAAGGCACGGGGCTGGGGGTGGGGAAACGAGTCCCCAAATGTTCCTCCTGCCTCCCTCACAGGGTCAGGAGAGCAGCTTGGGGGCCGGCAGGCAGGGCCAGGAGGCAGTGCCCCAACGCCTGCCCCCCCCCACCGGCTCCTTGCAGGACAGAGTGGTCTCCATCCACAAGAGGGAGGGAGCCCGAAGCCCCCATCTGCAGCTTCTGAAGGCCCGGGCCGGCCCCTGGACATTATTGCTTTTCTGCCCCTGCGGAGGAGGGGCTGGCTGCCCCGAGCCAGGCCGCCCAGCCGAACAGGGCGTGGGAGGCAGCACCAGGGCGCTGTCGGCTGGGCGCCCGTCCGCGGGAAGGCAGCCTGCCGGGAGCAGCGCACGGGCAGGCGCAGCGGGCACCCCGGCCAGACACGCAGGACGGCCCACCGCGCCGAGCTGGGCCCTCACTGGGGCTTGTGTGGATTAAAAACTGGAATCTCTAAACCGCCCAAAGGCCCAGTCCTGGGGCAGGCCGCAGAGTCTCCCCGGTCCTGCTCTGGGCACAAAGGTAAGGGCAGGACAGGATCCGCTGGGACCGCTGAGGGGAGTTGGGGAGAGGGCTGAAGAAAAAAATGGAAACGGTGAGGTGAGGGATGGGGACACAAACAAAAAAGGCAAAATAAAAACTTAAAAAAAAAAAAGAAAGCAGCCCCGGTGGTGCTGGCAGCCTGCATGCGTCCGTGTGGGCCGTGCTGCTCACTCGCGGATGCTGGCCGAATAGGAGAACTGTGGGAAGTGGGTCCGCTGGTCCAGTTCAAGGGAGCCCAGGCTGTCATCTGCGGGGGTGGGTTGGAGGAGATGGGCTGAGGTGAACCCAGGGTGGAGGACCCGGCACCCCTCCTACACGGGGAGCCTGGGGAGAACTGCTGGCCGGCCGCCCCTGAGAAGGGGACATGTCAGCTGAGATCCCTTGGCCACAGCCCCAAGCCCGGTTCTGGAGCAAAGGATGCACCCCGCTTCTGCCTGCCCACTCAGCCTTCTGAGCGCCCCACCAGCTCGCCTGCTCTGCACTCCCCCTCCCCACGCACATGGCAGCTCAGCCCAGACCTTCCGTCTCCAGCCCAGTCCCTGCCCCCAACAGCCCACCCTCCTAGTCAGGTGGGGGTGAAGATACGTTGGACTTCCTACAGCCCCAATGCAGCGTTGTCCCTCCTCTGTGCAAAACCCTCCATGGCTTCTTGTGCAGCAAGTCCCCACTCCTCCCAGTGGACCCCAAGATCCTCCTGCTGTGGCCCCACGCCTGCCTGCCCACCCCCATCTACTAGCTTTGCAACTGTGCCATGGTTCCCTGTGCAGTGCTCCCACTTCTGGGCACCAGACATGCTGTTATTTCTGCTGAAAACATATCTAAGCTGCCATGTCTCCTCCAGGAAGTCCTCCTTGGCAGGCCAGAGCAAGCATTTCTTCTGGGCTTTTCTACACCCTAGCCCTGCCACCGTGGGCTACCACTCCACCCAGACTGGGCACTCCCCGAGGGCAGGCTCAGCGCATCTCCATCACTGCTGGGTTTCCAGCACAGCCCAACACTGTGGGAGCAAGAACTCAAGAGCTGCAGAATCAGTGAACCCGTCTGGCTCCAAAGGCCCAGGCAGCTGCCATCCAGCACTGATAACGCCTGCCTGGACCGCTCCCCACAGCTCTGGAACAGGCTGGAGCCATGGCTCCCGGCGACCGTCACCGGTGCAAAGGCAGACCAACTGCAAGAGCCTGGTGAGCAGAGTGCAGGTGCCGGGACACTGAGGAGGGGCCCACACACTTCCGCCCGGAGAACTGGGTCAAGAGCAGACCCCACCCCTCCACTTCCTGGCAGGCCTGCCCGTGACAGGGCTGCAGACACTCACAGCGGTCCGGGGGTGTGATTGTGATGGACTGGGCGGTGAACTCGTCATCAAAGTACCTTGTGTCGACCTCAGATGTGACCTGAGGCTTGAAGGGTGGCAGGAGCTATGGAGGAGAGGAGCCCAAGCTCAGGGACCCTGAGGACAGGAGGCCTTGACCTAAGTCACCCCAAGGGCCGGGCTGCTGTTGGGAGCAGGCGGGTGGTGGGCTCACCTTCTTCTGAACCACATCCTGCCAGTTGATGCTGAGGAAGAACCTGTGCTCCATGACCTCCTTGGCATCGCTGGGCCCCCCGCCGAGCCTGGGCAGAGACGGCCATGAACACCCCCCCCCCCCCCCGAGGCAGCCAGGTTCTGGGAGACGGGCTTTCGTTTCGGCACAGGTCCTGAACAACCTTTAACGAGGCTGTCCTGGCCACAGACCACCGCGTCACAGGATGCAACAGAGGCTCAGGGAGGGGAGCGCTCGCGCCCGGGTCACAGGACGGGAGACTGCAGCCTGGACCTGGCGCCCTCAGTGGATGCTGAGAGGACAGGCTCAGCAGAGGGCCGCTTCATATCCAGCCCCGCAACATACGACTTGGCCACCCCAGCCGGGGCCCTGTCCCTCAGCGTCCCCATAAAACAAGAGTGCCGGCAGAGGGCTAAGGAGAGGCCTCCCCACGGGAGTGCTCCCCAAGTGCCAGCAGCGGGATCAGCGATGCCCTGGGGGACAGCAGTGCACCCCCACGAGCAAGCACACTGGTGGATGCAGCCCCCTCTGGGTGAGGGGAGTGGCAGCAGGCAGGCTGGGTGGGGCGACGCCAGCCCTCACCTCTGCTTGGGGTCCTTCTTAAGCAGCCCAGCCAGCAAGGACTTTGCCTCGGGGCTGAGCGTGCGCGGAAAGCGGATCTCCTCCATGAGGATGAGCTCGAAGAGGCGCTCGTGGTCCTGGTTGTAGAAGGGCAGGCGGCCGCACATCATCTCGTACATGACCACGCCCAGGCCCCACCAGTCCACGGCCCGGCCGTAATCATTGTCCTCCAGCACCTGAGCGGGGAGGGGCAATGAGGGCAGCCCAAACCCGGACCCGGCAGCTCAGGGGCGCAGGGGCGCTCTGGGGCAACAGCGCCCTGCCCTCGGAGGGGCCCAGGGGGAAACTCCGGGTCTGAGGGTCCCCCCTCCCTTGGCCTCACATGCCCCTGCGACCTCCAGCCCCAGACACCTCAGGGGCCAGGTATTCGGGGGTCCCACAGAAGGTCTTCATAGTGGCCCCGTCACTGATGCCCTCTTTGCACAGGCCAAAGTCAGTGATCTTGATGTGGCCATCTTTGTCCAGCATGAGATTTTCCAGCTGTAGGAAAAGTCAATATATCAGGTCCATGTCCTCCCTGTGCCACTTCCTGAACCCACCCCCCCACCCCCCAGAACTTCCCAGGAGAGGGCCTTGGCCTGCTGTGTCACGTCAGGGGCTCCAGGCCGAGACACCCTCCAGGCTAAGCCCTCACCCTCTGGAGCACAGAGGGCAGTACCTCCCCAGCCCCCGCTGCCTCCGGGGAAGCCAGAGAAAGCAGAGCCAGGCCCTGCTCCAACTGGCTCCCCACGGTGGGCCGCAGTCTCCTAGCTTTGGATGTGCGGGACACCCTCTTTCTCCTATTTGTTCCAAAATCACGCAATATACAGCAGGAGGAACAAAAAACACAAGCCACAAGTGGACAACCTAGTGGTGGGCCTTGACCTCCAGTGGGTCAAGAAAACATGACCAGCCCCTGAACACCCCAGAGGCCCTGCCAGTTAATAACCACCCTCCTAGCAGAGAAGGCCCTTCACTGCCTCACTTTCCTTGAGTTTTCACTACCTTTGTCGTATACACCCTTGTATACACCCTTGTGTATGACAGACTCGTCTTGTCTGTTTTGGCATCTCGCTGCAGCCTCTTAGAGGCACCCCACTGCCGTGCGGGGCTCAGCCGCATGAGCACATGGACGCCTGGCTTATCCACATCCCACGGCAGACACGTGGGGCTGCTTCCGGTTTGGGGACAAGTGAGCAGCGCTGCCGGATGCGTGTGCAGACACGGTCTGAGGGGCACCCACCCCCGCCGCACACCCAGGGCAGAACGGCCTGCTCACAGGAAACGAGGAGGCTCTGTTCTGACGGATTCTGCCAAGCTACCTTCCTCAAGTGCTTGTCCCCTCAGCGCACCGAGTACTGGCTGGCTCCCAAGAGGCTAGGAAAGACCCCCCAGGAGTTGTGCGGGAGGATGTGGCCTCCAGAGGGACTGGACAATGGCTCAGCGACGAGACAGGACCCCACCGGAAGGAGCCTGTGCTCACCTTGATGTCTCGATACACCACGTCTCTCGAGTGCAGGTACTCCAGGGCCGAGACGATCTCCGCACCGTAGAAGCGGGCCCGCTCCTCCGTGAAGACGCGCTCCCGGGACAGGTGGAAGAACAGCTGCCGGAGAAGGGAGGTCAGACCCCGGCCGCGAGGGAAGGATGGGACCCAGCCCAGACATGGTGACACCTGCTCTATGACCCACGAGTGAGAGCAACAAGGACCAGGAGAGGGAAAGTGAGCACAGAGAAGCTCGGGGCAAGCATGGAAGGAAGGGTGCCAGCAGGCGCCGCGGGAGGTGAAGGGGGATGCAAAGAGGAACACGAGTTATGAGCAACTGACGAGATGCCCCAAGACCACGTCAGACAGACAAAGTCAAGAATCACAGCCAGGGAGTCACACCTGCACGGAGAAGGGTGTGAGACAGACGAGTGGGTGAAAGAGGGGGGCGTGAGCGACTCGCTGACAGTGAGTGGCTGATGTCTCTGCTCTAGAAGGACTCAGGCAATCAGCAGAATAAAGGGTCTTTGCAACCTTTAAGACACCCCCGCAGCGCTGCCAGCCAACCACCCCCAGCCGTCTCCACACCTCTCTGCACCTCAGGATGGAAACTGCCCACCAACTCATTACAGTGAATCTGGGCAAGCCACTTAACCTCGCTGCATCTCGGTTTCCTCCAGCCTGCTCCAGCTCACTCACAGCTCCTCCCTCCCTCCCCGCTCCCGGGAAGGAGACATCCAGAAAGCCAGGCGGGGGCAGCACAGCTCACCTCACCACCGTTGGCGTACTCCATCACGAAGCACAGGCGGTCGTGGGTCTGGAAGGCGTACTTCAGTGCCTGCGGGGAGCAAACAGCCAGGGTAGGAGGTGGGAGCGGGCAGGCTCTCTGCGAGCCTCAGGAGGCGGGGTGCTGGATTCTGTGCACACCCGCCCTGCCCTAGCCTGGGCGCAGGCCGCCGGGGCTCACACCTCAGCCTGTGGCTCTGAGGGCAGTCAAAGGGGTACTGTATTGAACCCTCCTGTCCTCTGCCTTCAAGCAAGCCCCTGAGAGGTACTGCTGGGCAGAGAGGACGTTCCGAGGAGGCACTGCTGTTTTCACGCTCCTCCTCTTCCTATTTTACAGTGAAGTGTTTTAACATTTTACAGCAGCGCACGCGCGCGCACGCACACACACAAGGTTTGCGGACTGGGAGTTGGCAATGACAATGTCCAACTCCAAAGAAAGGACAAAGAGTTCTCAAACTGTATTCCAAGGAGCCCACAGACCGTTCGTCAGAACTGCTGGGCGACAGCCCTGTTCACGACGCCTCTACACGGTCCTCTGCACGGGGGTACCTTGTAAGGTTTCGTGGAACATGCGCTATGACTAGACAGCAACTGAGCAATGAAATGACCCCTAAGTCACCCTCGGTGTGGTCCATTTAGCTAATGGCTGCTGCTCCTGATGGAGACTGTAGCCAGCCTAAATGAGCAGGTACCAGTAATCCACCTGCTTCCAGGCTTACATATTAAAATGAAAGTAAAAAAAAAAAAACAACAAACCAACATTCCCACTAAGACCAGCTGGATGAAATGCCTCTAACTCATGGGGACACAGTCACGCTCTCCTGGGGCCATCTCAAGACATGACAAGTCAGTCAGCCCACGTGCTAATGTGAACCACCCCCAACCCAAGGGGTGTTGGGTCAGACCATCTGGAGAGCCCACCACCACCCTGCCCTGGCCACCTGATGTCACGTGTGTGCCTTTTGTGACAGGTTTTGGGCCCTTCGCTGGGGCCTGTCCACAGGAGCTGACCACTCACCGTGAGGAACGGGTGCCTGGTGTTCTGGAGGACACGGCTCTCGGTGACCGTGTGGGCAACTTCATCCTGCGGACAAAGGCCAGATGAGGGGCAGTGGACAGCACCTTGCCTACCCACCCCCCACCTGAGGGTGGGGGCGACATCTTGGTGAAATGTGATTCCTTTCCTAGCTGCCATGCGGAGGGGATGGCAAGGGCGAGCATCACCGTCGCCAGCACTAGTGAAATAAAGAATCCGGAGGAGGCGCGTCGGTCGCTCTCAAAACAGGCAGGTGTCAAGGTGATGGAGACTTTACGAAGGATCAGGCCATCATCGCCTGAACCCACAGACTCATTTTAACGCAGATAAAGGAGGGACAAGCAGATGTTATGAGACCCCTGGGGTGGCGCAGCAGGCCCTAGGACTCACCAGCCAGAGCACTCTTGCCCAGAGGAGGACCAGGCCCTGAGCAAGGCGCGAGCTCACGGAGCAGCAGATCTCAGTGTGTGGTTCCCCCACCCCTATCAGCAGTGCCTGGGCACTTGGAGAAATGCATATTCTCGTGCCCCTGCCCAGACCTGCCACATCAGAGACCTGCAGGGGTGTGTCCGGCGGTGGTCTCTCAGGCTCTCCCAAGACCCTAATGCAGGTTCAGGGTGGGGTCCAGGCATGCTGCAGCCACCCGGAGAACTGCTAAAAATCCTGACCCACCTGCCATGCCAACCCTGCTCCTCAAGGGACGAGTCTGTCCCCAGGGACAGCTGCTAACACTGTCTGAAGATATTTCTGATTTCACATCTTAGGGGGAGGGTGCTCCTAGCTTTAGTGGGTGGAGCCGGGGTTGCTGCTGAACATCCCACAAGTGCACAGGATGGACCCACAATGAAGGATGAACAGGCCCAAAACGGCAACAGTGCTGAGGTTGAGAAACCCCTGCCTTGGGCAAAAGACATGGGGGATTGGTGAGTCACTGGATATGATCTAGCATCATGATTATGTTCTTTAAAACCCTCATCTGTTAAAGACACACACCTAGTATGTATGGGTAAAATTATATGCTGTCTAGAATGTGCCTTAAAATACTCCAGGACCAAAAAAAGAATCAGGGAGAGGGTGGAGCTTTGAGACAAGATGGGCCCAATGCTGACAACTGTTGAAAGTGGATGATGGCACCATGGGGGCCATGATATTTTTCCTTTGAAAATTTCGTGTTATGATTGGAGTTTTCCATTTCAAAAACTTTAAATAAGAACAAGAAATAGAGTTCCATTCTTGGCCCAGCTTCATACTGAGACACCCTGAGCCAAGCCTCCACCATTCACAAGCTCCCCACAGGTCCTTTATCATCACAAGGGACCCACTTTCGATCCTGGCAGCTCCTGCTGGGTGAGGCCCAGGCACCAGAGGGTGGGGTGCGGCTAGCCTCAGGCTCCCTTGTCTGAGGGAGCTCAAGGGGGATGGGTCTGGAGGGGAAATGAGCCTTTGGCAGCAGCAGGAGGGGTAGGTATTCCAGTCCGCAGTCAGGCTGGGGATCACAGGCCCTGGAGAGGCCAGCCAGCTGCAGGCCGGGGAGCGCTCACCTTGGCAATGATAACCTCCTTCCGCAGGATCTTCATGGCGTAGTAGCGGCCGGTGGCCTTCTCCCGCACCAGGATGACTTTGCCAAAGGTGCCCTTGCCCAGGAGTTTGAGATAGTCGAAGTCATTCATGGTCTGCCAGGGATGGGGGGAGAGAGGAGCCGTCAGTGCTGGCACATGGCCCATGGGAGGAAATTTTAACAAAGAAAAAGGAAAATCAAAGGCCACTGTTGCCAAATGGCTCGGGCATGAGCAGGAAGGGAGGCTGTGAGCGGCACTGTTCGTTCTGAGGTGGCCTTCAGACCAAGGCTCTCCTGCCGCTCAGTTCTCCTGGGCACTAGGCCCTGGAGGGCTGGGCCAAGAGCTGTGATGTGGGGGTAGAGCAGTCTTCACCACCTCCCAGGACAAGGCTGCCCCCTCCCCGGAGGCAGCCACAACCTGAAATCACCCACCCACACGGCAGTCATGAAGTCGCAGGCCGAGCCCCCGCACACACAGCATGGAAACCCAGGCACGGGGCCAGTGCTGTGGGGAGAAGGCACACAGGCCAGCAGCCCCCACCTCCTGGCCGCCTGCCGCTCAGCACTTACCACCTTGGCCCTGGCTTTACTAACTGCCACTTCCATATCCTCCGCTGCAGAAGAGTCGCTGGGGGAGCCACACTTGTAGTCCATGGGGTCCTCACCTGGGCCCCGCTGCTTGAGGCTGTTGGCGACCATCTGGATGGCCCTCATCCACTCCTCCCTATGTGGGGACACATGCACGACCGGGGAGACATGAGTCCAGGTGAGCTGGGGCCTCAGGGGAAGGAAAGGCTGAGCCCCAGTGCCTCCAATGGACAAGCAATCACCAAACACCTTTGGGCATTTGGGGGAGCTCTGTCTCATTTGAAGAAAGCCAAAGGGGCTGGACTGAACTTTTGCAAACCCCTCTGGCTATGGGGGTGATGCAGTAGGACAGAGACCACCTGAGACAGGACCTGGCCTGATACTCAAGTCAGGAAACAATGATCCAGGAGGGGAGACCACCCTTCTCCACAGCCCCTTGAACATGAGCTGCCACCCCGAGCCTTGGGTGGTGAGACAGCACTCCTCTGACCTCCTCTGGAGCAGACAAGTTCAAGTTTACACAAGTGATCGGTGTTTTGTAAAAGATAAAAGGAAGCACTGGCTAGAAGAGCTGGGTCAGAAGCACGAGCTCACACACACAGACACACAAGTCCAGGAACACCAATACCTTTGGCCGGATGCTCTTGTCTCAGGCCCTGGCTGCCTCAAGTGGGAGTCAGGGCAACGAGAATCTAAGCCTAGTGTCTTCTAACTACAAATACAGAGCTTTCACCCCCTCCTGCATTACAGATGGGAAATCAGGCAGAGATTAAAAGACAAAATCAAGAAACACAGTGATTGGGCCCTCCCTGGTGGCGCAGCGGGTTGAGCGATGCGTTGTGAAGCTGTCCGAAGCCTCTGCAGCATGGGTTCGGTTTCCAGCCAGCCAGGGAGATTCCCACATGGCGTAGCAGATCTCTCTTGTCTTGCCTGCTGCTCCCTCAGCAGTGCTTTCAGTCCGTCTGCCTGTTCTGCTCCTCACTCTGTCTCTGGTGAATCCTCTCACCCTCCCATGCCTCTGGCATGTACCCCAGTTCTTGTATAAAAATAAATAAATCTTAAAAAAAAAAAGAAACACAGTGGTTGCTCCAACCCTGACAGCTGGAAACACAGAGGGCCTGCAATCAACCACCTTTTGGGGGGAACAGGCAGGATATTCTTGGCTTGGTCGATTCCACGGTTTGCTGGACGAAGCAGCCACCAAGCGCACATGGCTTCTCAGGGTAGTCTCACTCCCAAGGTTTCACGCACCAAGCAGAGTCTGGGCCCCCCATAATGCACTGTTTGTCCAGTGGGGGCAAACATGTTGGCACACGGTGCACCCCAGCACCTGGGGGGTACTCAGTAGGTATCTGGATAATGCATGGGGGAGGGAGACAATGTCTTCATGGCCCCAGGTCCACTGTACCCCAGAGTAGGCAGCCTGCACACACTCAGAGCAGCACCGGCCTCTTCCCTCCCCGACCCAAGGTCTCAGCCAGCATTACTCAACTTGCTTTAACCCGTGGCCTCTTTGGAACAAATTATAATATAAATCCCTATGCCTACATTAGATGTCCTGTTTTTCAAAACATGAGGGCAGGGGCAAATCCCGCAGTATTTTATCAGATCATGAAACTGTCCTCTTAGAAAATTTTAAATCTGACTTTAGGTATAAGACCATGAATTGAAAAAAGTCACTAATCTTCTAAGAAATGTGCTAACTATATTAAAAACAAAAACCAGAATGTGTATGTCCTGCGTAGAATCCACAAGCGAGCTGCAGGCCAAGCCCTTCGGTGCGCTGGCGTCTTTGTTCACGAGGAAGGTGGGAGCAGACAAGCCCATCCACAGCAGCCTGAACAAGTAAATGATGGTGCACCCACGCCCCAGGAGCAGGGGAAGGAGCAGGGCTAGGGGTCCTCTCTGGGCTGCAGAGCTGGCAATGAGGAGCATGGCTTCAGAGTCACAGCAGCTGGGGCTCAAATAGCAAGTCTGCCAACTGGGCAAGCTCACCCCACCAGCCTGCACCCCTTCCTCCAGGGCAGACTCCCTGGGGTGCTGAGCTGCTAGTGCACCCCCCCCACCCCCACAGAATGTGCTCATCTAGGAAAGTATTCATGGGTGGGGGCGTGGACCTGTCCATCCATTCTGGCCCCCACTGCCCAGCCCCACAGGGAGCTGTGGAACCCAGGGGGATGCAAGAGTTTGGTTGGGCGACTAATGGGACTCGCCACTGCCCGACAAGCCCCCGATCTGTTCCAACTGGACCGAGGTTGCAGGGTTGCAGCACTCACCATTCCAGAGAAAAAGCAAGGGCCTCCATCCAGAGCACTCCTCAAGGGTTTGCAACATGTTGTCTGGGGCAGAGGGGAGCTCCCACCCAGAGCTGGGGCTGGCATGCCTTTCTCCTCTCAATGGAAAGCCCCCAGAACCAACCTCCTTCCCCCAAGAGACATGCTAAGAAAAGCAGTGTCCCACAGAGCCACCTCATTCCATACTCCTGAGAGTTCTGTGGGCAGGAGTGAGGCACACAGGAGCCCCTGCAGAGGACGCACAGCCGGATCATCTTCCAGGGATGGGTCTAGAAGGGTCAAGCATGGAGCACTGGGGAAGACTCAAGGAACAAGGGACTCCATGTTGTGGGGCACGGAAAGCCATCCTAGGGTGCTCGGATTCAGACCACCTTTTCTAGGAGGCCAGCCCACTCAACAGTAGCACAAAGGCCCTCGGCCTGGAGAGCACACTGACCCAACACCCTATCAAGTGCTTTACCTGCGGTAACTCCCTGAGCAGTCCTACGAAATAGGTTCTGTCACTCAGTTCATTCTTTACATAAACCAAGACACTGAGGCCCTGAGGGGCTGACATTTGCCCAGCTACCTCACTTGGGGTCTGGGGCCAGGGGAGGCACTTTGGGGGAGCACCCTTCACAGGGCAGGCTGCAGGTCAGGGCACAGGCTCAGGGAAACCCTAAGGGAATGACTCCTTGGGGTTCTGTCTGCCCCCTACAGACACTGGACCCTCACAGGGGCTAAGCAGACTTGGGGGTCAGATGGCCTGGCATTCGTGAATCCTAGTTGTGCCCTGCCCTGAGGCCAGGCTGAGCAGGCCATCTGACTTTCGTGTGCCTCAGAAGGCTGACATGTGGAGGGGAGCGAGCGGGCTGTGGAAGGGTGAAATGAGACACTAGATATAAAGTGCTGAGGGCAGTAGCTGGCACAGAGTAATGCCTCAAAGGGTGGTTGTGAGAATTCACCCAGCCAGCCGGCCAGCAAATTATTTCCTGAGTGCCCTGTGCGTGCCAGGCCTTGTTCTGGGTGCTGGGGGCCGCGGGAACAAGCCCCACTGGAGCTCCTCAGCCAGTGGAGACAAGTGTGTAAATGTTCCAGGGCAGGGACCAGAAAGAGAAGCCCCTCCTCAGAGGCTGTCACAGAAGGCCCCTTTGAGGTAGTGGCATGTAAGACATGACCTGAAAGATGTTCCTGGAATGAGAGCGATCCCCAGTGCTGAGAACAGACATTTGGCACACGACTGTGATATAAATGAAGTGGAGGGAAGGAGGCAGCCATGCCAAGTGCTGGGTGGGAAAGGACCCCAGGCAGAGAGAACAGCACGGCCAAGGGCGAGGAGGGAGCCGGGATGTCTGCAGAAGGTGCAGCAGGGCCAGCACGGCAGGAGCTGACAGGGGAGGGAGGGCAGCCCCGCCCACACTGGGTTCCTTGGGTGGCTATGTTAGGGATTTACGTCTTAATCCTTCACATCACGGGGAGTCACTAAAGTGTTTTACGCAAGGGGTAGCAGGATCTGATTTCTGTTTTAAGTCAGCAGCTGCTGCGCGGGGTACTGCTGGGGGTAGCAGGAGGAAGCATGAGGCCATGGCAGTCCTTCAGGCAAGAGGTGCCAGTGGCAGCGATGGAGGAACGAAAAGGCACCAAGTGCGATTCTGTGGGGCGGGCCTGGGCCGGACGCCTTCACATTTGCTTCCTCCTTCATTCCTCATGACAGCCAGGGAACCGAGCCCCACTAGAAAGTGGCACGGAGACCCACCTGACTCCAGAGCCCGGGCCCAGCCCTGGGCGATGCTGCTGAGCAAAACTAACAGAGTAGGGAAGCCTGGTGACCTGGCAGTGGCCAAGCCATCAGCAGTGCACAGGACTGTTCTGGTTGCTGCTCCGCGACTAACAGCCAACTGCCCATCTGATGGTGGCCGGGGGACTTCTCTCCCTTTCCAGGGTCCCCTCTGGCCCCGAGGGGTACTTATAGCTGGAGGATATCTGTGGTGTCTTTCTATTCAGAGGCCCTCAGATGAGCTGAGTTGGCAGATCCAGGGTCAGTCCTGCCTGGTGGGGAAATCCAGACCCCTCCCTCCAATGTTCTCTCTTTACTTCTACAGCTTTCTGTGTCTGTTTCATTATCATTCTCCCTGTTTAATACATGAGGATCTACCTCCCAGAAATGTTGTGCGGACAACATGAGTTGATATATGTATAATCTTAGAAGAGTCTGGCTCAAGAGAAAATTAGTTTCAATTTTATCTTATTTATTTAGCGAACACTTACTGAACACCTATGTTTATTCCTAGCACAAATAAATAAATCAAAAATGTCATGCCCAGGGCCTCCCTGGTGGCGCAAGGGGTTAAACACCGCACCATGAAGCAATCCACAGCCTCTGCAGCACAAATTCGATCCCCGGCCAGCCAGGGAGAAACCCACATGGCGCAGTAGACCTCTCCTGTCTCGCCCGCTACTCCCCTCAGCAGTGTATTTCGGTCAGTCTGCCTGTTCTGTTCCCCACTCTGTCTCTGGTGAATCCTCTCACCCCCTGCATCTCTGGCCTGTACCCCAGCTCTTGTATGCATAAGTAAATAAATCTTTAAAAAAAAAAAAATGTCATGCCCAGTAATAGTTACTGGGAGGAAAAATAAAACAGGTTAAGAGTAACAGAATTGGGAGGGAGGAGCACAGGGGACTGTGCTGATGAGTGAACTGGTGGAGGAACTGGTGGAGGAAATGGGTGAACTGGTGGAGGAAATTCTATGGGGAAAAAAAACACATTGTTTAAAAATGAACAATAACAGGGTCTCCCCAGTGCCTCAGCGGTTGAGCGCTGGGTTGCGAAGCTGCCCGCAGCCTCTACAGTGCCGGTTTGGTCCCCGGCCACCAGGGGAGGGTCCCACATGGCGCGCAGACCTCTCCTGCCACCCGCTGCTCCCCTCAGCAGTGTACTTCGTCAGTCTGCCTGTTCTGTTCCCCGCTCTGGCTCTGGTGAATTCTCTCAACCTCCCGCACTTCTGACTGTACCCAGTGCTGTATAAATAAATAAATCTTTCTTTTTAAATGAACAATGATGTAAAATATAAATAAATAAATTATAAAAAGTAACAGAATTATGGGGATAGGTTAGGGTGCCACTTGGGGCACCAATAAGGAGTTGGCAGATTTGAGGTTAGCCCTGCCACCCTAAGAGAGTGGCATCGGAGCAGAGGCCTCACAAAGCTAAGGCAGGAACTGCATGGTATCTGAACAAAGAAGGTTCTAAGGCAAGGAAATAGCAAGTGCAAAGGTCCTGAGGTAGGAAATATGTTTAAGGAACAGCAAGGAGATCAGGGGGGTCGCTAGAGGAGGGAACCTGAGGTAAGAAATGATTCTGACTGGGAGGCCAGATCACACAGGACTTTGCAGGGTATGGCTCAGGATTGAACTCATTCCAACTGGGGTTGAAAGTCACTCTGAGTTCTAAACACAGAAATTATATAAGACTGACATTAAATAGAGCGCACTAACATGATGTACTATTAAATGTATCTGCCAAGATCAGAGGTCTGCAAAACTCCCCTGAAAAAGGGCAGACAGTAAATATTTTAGACTTTGCAGGCTACACGGTCTCAGTCACAACTGTTCAGTGGGGCAAAGGCAGCCAGGGGCAATTTGTAAACAAATGGGCGTGGTCATGTTCCCATAAAACTTTACTTACAAGAACAGGAAGCTGGGTGGTTGTTTGCCAACCCTGCTCGGGACTTAATGCCTAGCTTACAGGAAATATAGGCACAGAGGAAGAAAGTAAACAGCGCTAAAGGTAATGTGTGGCACCCCCAGAGTGCAGGACATTCTACAAGACAACTAGCCCAGCTCCTCAGGGAAAAAGAAGGACAAGAAGACAATGGATTAATCTATGTTAAAACAAGTCAAAGAGGGCCTCCCTGATGGCACAAGGGGATAAGCACCGCACTATGAAGCAATCTGCAGCCTCTGCAGCATAAGTTCAATGCCCGGCCAGCCAGGGAGAAACCCACATGGCGCAGCAGACTTCTGTCTTGCCCGCTGCTCCCCTCCCTCAGCAGTGTATTTCAGTCTGCCTGTTCCGTTCCCCGCTCTGTCTCTGGTGAATCCTCTCACCCCGACACCTCTGGCCTGTACCCCAGCTCTGAATCTTAAAAAAAAAAAAATCAAGTCAAAGAAATAATATGTTGCTTGAGTGAATCCTGGCTTGAAAAACAACATTTTGAGAATAACAGGTAAAATTCCAGTACAGGATGGATGTGGAGAGGGTGTCAGCAACCCCCTATGAGAAGTGATCAGCTCAGGTGTGCTGACGACACCATGACCCACAGACAACGCCCTTACTCTTAGGAGGTACCTGCTGACGTTTAAAGACGAAAATATCACAGAGTAGGGACAGAAGTTCAAGATGCAGCGTAGAATACAGCCAGGGAAGGCAAACATGGCAAATGAGGAACTGGCGACTCTAGGCACAGGTATCTGGAAGCTCATTTAGTGTGCTATTCTCCCAACTTCTCTGGATGTCTGGAACAAGCAGGTAGGGGCCGGGGCTTGGGCAAGTCCCTGGAGCTGCCCCAAGAGCACAGAGAAGGGCAGCAGAGACCAGGGAGCAGGCCCCTGTAGCATCTGGGAAGGACCAGTCGCCAGGGTCACCTGGCTGCCTCCAGCCCCTTCTCTCGTCCTCTCTCCAGGCGCAGGCCATTGTGGGGCAGGGGTTGGTGAGGACAGCCATGAGCAGATCGGCCTCCCTCTTGTGGGGTTTCTGGTTCACACCTGCCCCAGGGTAAAGTCAGGAATCTGGGGTTTGGTCTCAGAGCAGTCCCAGCAGATTCCTCTCCGGTAGCAGTGGCAGGTGCTAAGTAGAGGAGGAAGGCAGGGGTTCTCCAGGCCCGCAGCCTTACTAAAGGGATTTTTTCCCCCAGCGAAGGACACGGCATCTCACTAAAATGGAAACCAGAGTGGCTCTCTGGCCAACAACACTTTCCCAGCTCCCCACTGCTCCTTTTGCCGGGCTTACAAGCTATGGGTCAGGGTCTGGCAAACCAAGGGTTTCCTCTTTATCACCACCCCCTTGGACCTTGCAGAGGCCCCACGGCATGTGCCAAGTGACTCCCTGCCTGCTGAGCCTGGGAGGGTCTCCATCTGGAGTCCAGTCCAGGCTGGGTCCGCTCGCTTCAGGCCTCCACTTCCCCTCTTCCAAGACCCCTATCCTTGATTCTCCGGTGACACAGAACCCCTGAGATGACCACCTGTCTCACCTCCCAGCCTCTGCAGATTCAGGTCCCTTTTTCTGGAGACTCCTCCTCCTGTCTCCCTGCCCAACTCCTACTATTTTTCAAAACTCAGTCCAATGCCCAGGTCCGATATACCTGGCCTGTCCCCTTGGCAGGGCACATACACTTTAACCTTGGCAAGGTCTGGTCACTACAATACAGATTGTGGCAGCAAGTATTGTGACTGTTTGTGAACGCTCTGGAGATGTGTTGCCTGGAGGGGAGGCACGACCTTGTGCGATCACTGAAACACATTACAATTTACAACTTCCATCCTTCGGGCACTAACCACGTTTCAGATGTTCCAGAGGCACGTGTGATGGCTACCATGCTGGGCACTGGTGCCAGAGAATGCTCCTGCAAGGCAGAGTTCTCTTGGAAGGCACAGCTTTAGGGGTCTCCAGAGGGTAGGCCGAGACCTCAGCCCAAAGGACGAGCTAGAGAAATGTTTCTCAAGGTGAGGTGCGAAGGGAAAAAGTGGGAAGAAAAATTCTGCTACTCATTAGCAGCTCCTTAATATAGGAAGAATTTCTAGAAACAAGAAAAAGATCAACAACCCGACAGAAAAATAGACAAAGGATCCAGACAGACAGGTCAGAAAGGAAACGGGCCAACGTCTCGGGCCCGTGTGGAAACGGGCGGAAGGACACTCAAACCTTCTACAGGAGAAAAGGACCAGTTTAAACTACCCCGAGGAGCCATTCCCCACTGACCTGACAGGTAAAAAATCCATACACCTGAAACCAAGGCTGGGCAACACTGAGACATCCCCAACAGCTACAGTTCTCAATCACCAACACGGATTTCCCGGGTCCCAGCTACGAATTCACTTCACAGATTTACCTGCGCATGTGTCAAACGAGATAAGCCCAAGGTACTTCTCTGTGGCATTGCCTGTGAAAAGTCAGAGGCTGGAAACAAGCCACTCTCGATTACAAACTGCTAAATTAACCTGGGGACAGGACACCGCGGTTGTTTGTAATACCTGTCAGCAGCAGCAGCTTTCCATACATTAAAGGAGAAAACTTCTCCCAAGATGCACGAAGGAAAAAAGTTCTGAACAGTCTGTACAATGCTCTCTTTTGTGTAAAAAAGAAAAAATGAGGAGTAGGGTGCAAACACGCTCCGTGAACAAGTGTGGCCATGTGTGAAGGAGCTCCCCGACATGAAGAACAGCACCCACTCGGGGTTACGGGTGGGGCAGGAGTGAGAGCAGCTTTCCCGAGACCCTGCCTCACACCACTGGATTTCTGCACTGGTAAATCTGTACCAATTCTCTCATTAATAAAATGATCTTCATTTTAAATTGAATCTCTGGACCACCTGCCTCAAAATCAATGGAAATGCTTATTACAAATGCAGCTTCTTGACCCTCCATGAGTCTCCTTAGGCCCCGTGGCCTGAGGTCAGGTCCAGAGCTCTGTGTTGTTAACATGCTTCACCCCATTCCAACACAACCTCTAGTCTCAGACAAAGAGGAGGGTCTATAGACTAAAAATGCTTCCCGTTCCCTGCTCCCAGAAGGGCTAGGACAGGAAATTCCAAAGCAGGGGCCCAATCTATCCATTTGCACCTCTCTCACACTGGGCCTGGCCACGCTCAAAGGGCAGACACACAGAGGCCCCAACTCACCTCTCATCGGGAGAGTCTACATGGAAAGTCCTCTCAATGACTGTGGTCCACTGCAGGCAGCGTATGACAAAGGTGTTGGGCCGTGGCCTCTCCGTCTTCATCAGCTGGCACTCTGCAGGCAGAGGGAAGGAAGAGCTGAGAAGGTGAGGGGACATTCTGCCCACCCATTGCTCACACCCAAGTCACCTCCTATGTGCTATCCGTGTACCAGGTGGGTTTAGGGACACCTGAGTGACCAAGACAGCTCTAGCCTTGTGACCTCACAGGGCTCAAGGTCCAGTGCATGTGTGGAAGGGAGCAGCCACCAGCTAGTGAAGGCTCAGCCATCAGAGCTTTAATGGGGAAGCCCTGAGGAGGTAGCTAACCTAGCCCTGGGGTGTGGGGATGGGGGAATGGCAAGGGAGGGCTCCCCAGTGGAAGGGGCATCTCTTCACTGAGGCTTGCCTGAAGGAGGAAGAGGGTGTGGTCAGGGAGAATGAAACATCTGTAGAGAAGCCCAGAGGTGGGAGAGGGCCCAACAAGCCTTGGGGAATGGCAAATACTCTGCTCCCTTTGCCACGTAGAGGACTGAAGAAGGGAGAAGTGAGAGACAGGCTGGAGAGGGGTCAGGATGAGGAATCTGGGCTCAGTCTGGGGACGGTGGGAGCCATGGAAGGCTTAAGTAGGGCGGGCACATGAACATATTTAGACAGATCCCTTGGGCTGCCACATAGAGAAGGCAGAATGGAGGCCAGGAGCCCAGAGAAGAGGCTGGGACTCTGCCAGTGCACGGCCATGAGGAGGGAAAGAAACAGCAGGGAGACGGGCCACAGGGGAGGCAGAGAGGCACCTAAGTTGAAGCCCAGGTGTCTGGCCTGAGATGGAAGCAAGGGGCAGGAGATGGCTGGGGGGAGAGGGGATCTGAAGGACAGTTTGGGACATGGTTGGTATGAGGGACTTAGAGGATAACCTCTGGAGGAAACATGTAGGAAGCTGATCAGGGCAGGTTCGGAGTTCCCGTGAGAAGCTGGGGCTGGAAAGAGCATTATCGGGGTCACTAGCACACAAGGAAAGCAACCAGGATGAAGCTACAGGCCCTGGCCAGGCCTAAGAATGGCCCAGTCCTATGTGGCCTAGAACCTAGCAGCGGTTCTTCTGGCACCTGAACTTTGGCCCACCCACCCCGAGACGCACCTGCGACAGAGAAGTTGTTTAGGGGGGGTAAGGTCTGATCGGGGGCCTCAGGCCGCTCCTTGTAGCCGATGAAGGAGCCGTCACTTTTCAGCAGGAAGTACCGAGGTCTCCAGGTCTTGATGTATTCACCTGAGCCGAGGCAGGGGGAGAAAGCTCAGGGCAAGGGCGAGCATGTGCCGTGTTGACAGAGCCTCACAAGGGGTAGCTCAGCAGGAGGAAGATGGACAAGAGAGCGGGTAGGAGAGTGCCTCTCACAGAGAAACCCTTGAGGTGGCCCCTGCTGACGCAGGCTGGGCACTGGGCTGGGCCTGACTGATCCAGAGGTCATGCCTGACAGGAAGGCGCCTGCTGAAGGGCCCCAGGGCCCCAGCTGCCTCAGCATGTGGCCAGCAGCACAAGCCTTCCCTGCCAGCACATGGCCCAGCCCCAGGGGAGGCCCAGGCTTCCAAACACACATGCCCTGTGGCCCTGTAAGGCCAAATCCCAGGGGTTGGTATTCACAGCACAGCTGTGCAGGTGGATCAGATGTCAAAACACTGTGCCAGGTGGGCTGTGACTGCTGCTGTGCCCTCCGAGTGCCCCTTGACTCCTTCCATTTGTTCTGAAGATGAGCACTCAAGCCCCCTGTGTGTGTACATACATACACACACACACACACACACACACACACACACACACACACCCCTGCTCGTCAGAGGGCTGCTAAGGATGAAAATAAGATGGTAAAACTTATATACACCCCAAACTTATATAGAAATGTCTATAGCAACATTATTCAGTTTAGAAAGAAGTAGACACAATAGAAAAATCCATCAATTACAAACGGATAAACAAAATTTGGCCTACTCATACAATAGAATATTATTTGGCCAGAAAAAGAAATGAAGCGTGGGTAGGCGCTGGAATAATAGCGGTGAGCCAGCGTGGTGTGCAAGGAGCTCATCACAAAGGACCACCGTCTGTGTGATTCCGTTTACATAAAATGTCCAGAACAGGCAAATTTAGAGAGGTAAGAAGTAGACCGGTGGTTGTCGAGGGACGGAGAAGGAGAGAGCCCAGAGAGTGATGGCCAAGGGTAGTGAGAATGTTCTACAGCTGAGTGTGCTGATGCACATCTCTGAAACCAACTAAACTTGACATGGCTGAATTGTACGGTGTGTGTAATTCTCAAGCTGTTAAACACGACAGCAGTCATGAAGTGCCACTGAGGGCCATCAATGCTCTTCACCTCAGCCCACTGTGCAAGCAGAGCGTACTGGGCCCTCGACTCGCAGCAGACCCAGGGAGACAGGAGGGCGGGGCAGACTCTCTGAGTTGTGTTTGCTATGTGGTCACCAGAAAGTGACTTCACTCATGGGGATCACCACTAACTGGTGAAATGATGATTAGATGCTACAATGTGACTGGCTACTCTGACCAGTCACTGTCCTAAGTATCTCACAGTTTTAACTTATGAAATTCTTTCAAATACATATACTAAGTGATTCTATGCATATAAAGTACAGAAACTAGCAAAATCCCATATTCATCAACAAACTGAAAAGATCCTATACCATGACTAAGTGGTTTTATTCCAGAAATATGAATAGAGCAATATATGAATAGAGCAATATATGAAAATCAGTCAAGATGATATGCTATGTTAATAGAATGAAGGAAAAAAATCAAATGATCACCTCCAACTGACACAGTTTTAAAAAAACAGAGGGCCTCCCCGGTGGCCTAGGGGTTAAGTCTCACTGCTGCAGCCCGAGTTCGATCCCCGTCTGGCCAGGGAGCAACCCACATGGCGCGGCAGATCTCTCCTGTCTCGCCCGCTGCTCCCCTCAGCAGTGTATTTCAGTCAGTCTGCCTGTTCTGTTCCCCACTCTGTCTCTGTTGAAGCCTCTCGCCCCCTGCATCTCTGGCCTGTGCCCCAGCTCTTGTATGCATAAATAATTCTTTGGAAAAAAAAAATTAGACAAAATCCAACACCTTTTCATGATAAAAATACTCAGCAAGCTAGAAGTAGAACGCCATTTTCTCCACACAATACAGGACATCTCTGAAAAACCCACAGCTAACATCGTACTCAAAACACTGGGTGATGGGGCCTCCCTGGTGGCGCAGCGGTTGAGCGCTGGGTTGCGAAGCTGCCCGCAGCCTCTGCAGCACAGGTTCGCTACCCGGCTGCTCCCCGGCCACTGGAGGAGGGTCCCACATGGCGCGCAGACCTCTCCTGCCGCCCGCTGCTCCCCTCAGCAGTATATTTCATCAGTCTGTCTGTTCTGCTCCCCGCTCTGGCTCTGGTGAATTCTCTCACCCTCCCGCGCTTCTGACTGTACTCCGTGCTTGTATAAATATAAACAAATAAATAAAAAATATTAAAAAAAAAAAAAACCACTGGGTGCTTCCCCAAAGATCACAAACCAGACTTGTGTTTCCCCCACTATCTAACTACTGGAACCTCTAGTCAAAGAGGGAAAAATAAAAGGAAAGGAATACATCAATCTTCATTTCCAATAACATGATCCTGTATATAGGAAATCACAAAGTATCCACAAAGTTGGTTCTAAATCGTTAAAACCAACAAATTTAGTGAGCTCAACATACAAAAGAGATCAACTCACGTTAGTGAATTGTGTCGGTATATACCAGCAACGAACAACGCAAAAAGGAAATGAAGAAAACAATTTCATTTACAACAGCGTGAGGAGATGAAAGACTTGTACACTACAAACTACAAAACATTACTAAAAGAAATTAAAGACCTAAATAAATGCATTCCACATTTGTGTATTCCCAAACTCAAGATGGCAACACTGCCCAAAGTGATCTAGAATCAACACACTCCCCATCAAAATTCCAAAAGCCTTTATTGCCGAAACGGAAAAGTCAGTCCTCAAATTTACATAGAATTTCAATTCATATGGCAAGGGGTCCCGAACAGTCAAAGCAATAATGCAAAAGAAACTAAAAGGACTCATACTCTCTATTCAAAACTTACTACAAAGTTAAAGTAATTAAATTAGTGTAATATAAGGAAAGACATCTAGGCCAATGGATGAGAATTCAGAATCAAAAATCAACCCAGACATCGTCAGTTGATTTTCAACAAGAGTGACCTAGACTACTCAATGGGAAAAGACCTGGTTTCTTCATCGTGTGGCGCTAGGACAACCAGAGGCCCACATGCAAAAGAACAGAAGTGGAGCCATGCCTCATACCACGTAAGAAACTCAAAATGGATCTACTTACATATAACAGATAAGACAATTAAAAGAAAACAAGGGAATATCTTCATAGCCTTGGATTTGGCAACAGATTCTTAGCTATGACGCCAGAAGTAAAAACATCAACAAGAAATAAAGCAGACTCACCAAAATTAAAAAGTCACTGCAAAGAACACTATCAAAGCAGCACAGTCTACAGGACAGACAAAAATATTTACAAATCATGTATCTACAGACAGCCCAATTTTAAAAATGGGCAAAGAACTTGAATAAAGATTTCTCTAAAGACGTACAAATGGTGAATAGCACCTGCAAAGATGCTCAATATTCATTAGGAAAATGCACATTACCCACAATGGGATGACACTTGCCACCCACTAGGATGGCTGTAATTAAGAGAGAGAGAGAACAATTATAGTTGAGGATGTGGTGAAACTGAAACCCTTGTGCACTGCTGGTATGAGTATAAAATGGTGCAACCACCACCGAAAAGTCTGGCACCAACTTGAAAAGTTAACTACTGGTACATGAATGCTCATGGCAGCACCATTCACAATGGCCAAGAGACAGAAGTAACCAGATGTCCATCAGCAGGTGAGCGCATAAATAACATGTGGTGTGTTTGTACAATGGGATACTGTTTGGCCCCTGAAAGGAATGAAGCACTAATACATGCTACAACACAAATGGACCTCAAAAACATGATGCTAAGTGACATAAGCCAGACACAAAGGCCACGCGCTGTGTGATTCATGTCTGTGAAATGTCCAGAATGAGTAAATCCATACAGACAGAAAATAAATTGGTTGTTGCCAGGGTCTGGGCAGAGTGAGGAATGGGGACTGGCTGCTTCAGGAGTAGGGTGTTTTCTTTCAGGGTGATGAAAATGATTTGGAACTCGACAATAGTAGCAGTTACACAACATTGTGAATGTTCTAAAGGCTGCTGAATTGTACACATTAAAATGGTTAGTTTTGTGTTAGTTAATTTCACCTCAATTCTTTTTTTTTTTTTTTTAGAGGCATGTTTTTATTTTATTTTATTTATTTATTTGTTTGTTCGTTTTGTTTATACAAGCACTGGGTACAGTCAGAAGCGCGGGAGGGTGAGAGAATTCACCAGAGCCAGAGGGGAGAGCAAAGCAGGCAGAAGGACCGAAGTACACTGCTGAGGGGAGCAGCGGGCGGCAGGAGAGGTCTGCGCGCCATGTGGGACCCTCCTCCGGTGGCCGGGGAGCAGCCGGGGATCGAACCGGCACCGCAGAGGCCGCGGGCAGCTTCGCAACCCAGCGCTCAACCGCTGCGCCACCGGGGAGGCCCAATTTCACCTCAATTCTAAAAAGAAAACCTAAAGCCGCCTATCCAACTCACCCCTCCAACTCACCCCTCCAACTGAAGTTAGCAAAGTGGTCGCTGCCGGGGGCAGGGTGGGAGGGGCTCTCATTCTGTTTCTTGGTATAGACCCTGGTTTGGGGTGCGCTCATGATCCAGGAACTTACCTGTGGTACTACTTACAAAACTTTAAAAAGAACACTAGAAAGAAAGGAAAAATATTCTCAAAAACAGCCCCATTTTACAGATGAGGCTCACAGCTGCTAACTGGGAAGCTAAGACTAGAAGCTGGGGGTGCTGTGTCCAGAGTTCACGGCCCTGACCATCACGGCCCTGCCAGCATCTAACCTGGCAGCCAAGGGCCTGGCATGGTGGGGCTGAGGGACTCCAACAGTCACTCCCCTTTGCCTACACCTAGAGCAGACCTCGCTGAGGGAGAGGCAGCAGGCAGGCAGGCAGGCCTCGAGGGCAGAGGCAGAGGGCCAGAGCCAAACCTCAGCGCTGCCACCTCCTCACTGAAACCTCAGGCAGATGAGTTTCCCTGCTGAGACTGTTTCCTGGCCTGTACAGTGTTCACCTCACAGAGCTACTATGGAAATTAAACAAAATTTGGCTCGTCTACAACAGAGCCAGGTCTGGGAGAGAGTGGATGCTCAGGAAATAGGCTGCTATCATTTTAACCACTAGTCATGGACTGGGGTGGGGCAAGGCAGGTAACTGAAACAGTCAGTCAGCCAGGCTCACCATGCCTTCCCACCTCTATTAGCTACTCATCAGAATGTCAGGGCCTGGGGTGCCCAGAAGTCGCACGGACACACACACACGCGCGCACACGTATACCTATGGTGCAAATCCCAGGCAGGTGTGCCAGCTAGGCTATGTCAGAAGCTCATCTGGCCTGGTGACACAAATGGAGACAATGGTGACCGAAGAGAAGCTGAGACCCAATTAATGCCATCAGCAGCCCCAGACTAGGACCAGAGACCCACCCACAAGTTTTCCAGTCACCTCCAACTCAGGAGCTTGACACAGCCTAAGACTCGCACCATGTACACAAGCAATCCCAATTATCAGTTATTGGGGCCTCTCTGGTGGTGCAAGAGGTTAAGTTTCAGCACTATGAAGCTGTCAGCAGCCACTGCAGTACGAGTTCAATCCCTGGCCAGGGAGCTACCCACATGGCGCAGCACACCTCTCCTGTCTCGCCTGCTGCTCCCTTTAGCAGTGTGTTTTAGTCATCAGCCTGCTCTGCTCCCCACTGTCTCTGGTGAATCCTCTCACCCCCGCACCTCTGGCCTGTAGCCAAGCTCTTATATGCATAAATAAATAAATAAATAAATAAATAAATAAATAAATAAATAAATAAAACAAATCTTTAAAAACAAATCATCAGTTATTGAGCACCTACTGCACGCCATCATTTTCTGAGTACTGGGACTACCTCAGTGGACAAGCCAGATCAATACCCTCCTCCCCAGGGGCTGGCAATGTCAGAGTTAAGCTGTTAATCCACTTTACAGATGTGAAGCCAAGTCTCAGAGAGGTGGCAGAGCTTGTCCAAAGTCACACCAAGAGCAAATGGCAGTACCAGGTTAGACATCTAACAAGGTTCAGAAAGTCCCATCGACAGCCCCAAACTCTAGCCCAGTCTAAATGGCATCCTTGTCTGGGAAGGAATGGAAATGGGTCTCTCCTGCTCAGTCTGATGGCGGGGGGCAGGGGGAGGACTGGCCCAGGGGAGCCTCCTCTGTCCTCACCCCTGCTCTGTGTGTGCAGGCTGGGATGGGACAGGGGAGGGTGGTTGGGGCTTCTCTGGCCCCATTCATGCGCCTCTCCAGACTTCCCCTGCACCCTCAACCCTTTGCCTCCTTCCGGTCTTTATTCCTTTCTCAGTGGGGTCCTCCCTGTCCATGCTGCTTATGAGGGCTCCCCTGCCCACCTCTCACCCCTCCTTCTCGAGGCACTCGATTTTATCCATAGCACTGACCACCAAAGAAGGCACTCGTCCACCTGGGTGCTGCTGCCCTTCCAATCAAATGAAACATACCAACACGGTACCTGTCGGGCTCAATGCAATACCCGCAGTGCCCAGTACGGGCCCTGGAACACAGCTGCTCAGCCGGTGTGCGCTGAATGAATGGACATGAACAGAGAGCAGCTCCACAGGCCTGGCACCGCCCTCCCTGAGTGCAAGGTCACAGACACCAGAACGATCTGCCCTCTTCATCCTCAGCACTTGGATGCACAGACTCTTGACACCTGCTTCGTCCCAGCCCCCCTCCCCTGGCACAGGGCAGCAAAGCTGTCTGGGGACAGACAGCCTGGGGTCTGAGAGTCCAGTTTCCTAATCTCATCTCTGTAAATGACTTCCTTTCTTCTGGTCTCAGCTACCCACCAGTACACCCAGCCAGGGCATGCTCTGGCTCACAAGATCCTGGGCTCCCAGCGCCTGAGAATTAAAGCCCAGGTCCTTTCTGTGGCTGACAGGACCCAACATGGTTCGGTGTCACATCACTGCCCACTCCTCCTACTGTCTCTGCTCATCTGCTCCAGCCCCGCTGTTCAACTTGCTGCCGCACGCACACTCCCCCCTGTCCTTCCTGGCCTATTCCAGGGACACCTCGCCCAGCTGTGTGCAGTTCGCCCCCTTACCTCCTTAGAACAGCTTTCCCTAAACAGCTTCTCCTGACCATGCCATCCCTCCCTGGCCTCTACCACTCCAGAGTTCCTACTTTTCAGAGTAGCAGTCACACCTACTATCAGCAGTCTGCTGACCCCGACCCCGTGGAAATGGAAACCCCATGAGGGCACCCGTGTCCTCAGAGGCTGGGACAGCCTGGTGCACCACACGTGCCCGGTGAATATTTTCTGAAAGAATGCATGCTGAATATTGCCACTCCGAGCCTCAGTTTCTCCGTCTACAGATGAGATCGCTGACGTACAATGCAGAATCTGAGGCCAGGCCAGAGTCCAGCCTGGCTTGGAAGCTCGACCCCAGGCAGATCCACAGAACTGTGGATCCACAAACTATCGCTAAAGGAATCCCTGAAACGAGACTGAAAGAAGCTAGTGGCCTGGGGCAGGTAGGCACAGCTGGGAGTCTGGCCTCTGGACGGCGGAGACCCTGCACCCCTGCCCCTCAGGGCCCCAGCTGCCAGGAGGGGAGCCCTGGAGGAAGGGGGAGACACGCAGTGCAGTGGGCAGCAGTGCCCCTTACCGCGCTTGTGGAGCCAGCCTTCTTTGATGACAGACACTTCGTTCATGGTGGCAGCGTGACACACTGTCACCTAGTTCGGGACAGCTCAGGGCAGCCGGACATGCAGGAAGCGCAGTGGACAGAGCACAGTCTGCAAGACAAGAGTGGAGCCGGTCAGAGTGGGAGGGGGTGCGGCCCCAGGCCCCTCCCTCAAGACTGCTCCAAGCCCCTCTGGCTGCCCTGCTCTTCTACATAGGGAAGAGCCAACGAGGGTGGGGAGCACTGCCCTCAGATCCATTCTGAGGGGAGAGGTGTGACTCTGTTCCCGGGAGACCCCAATCTGGAGGGAAAGGGCATCACCCCGCCCTCGGTGCCCTATTCTGGGGGAGCAGAGCTCCCTGCCCCTTTCAGGATACCCGTGCTGAAGAGAGACAGCCTCTCCACCCACCTGTACTCCTGACAGGGCTGGGAGCAAGGGAGCTGGGGCTCCACCCCCCATGTCACTCCCCAGCCCCATCACTGAGGTAACCTGGGATGAATCAGACAGCCCTGGGCACCTGAAGCAGTGCTCAAAGTCACCAGTACCCACCCGCTGCCCCAACACACACGCACTCTCTCCTGCCAAATGGAAGGCCCCAAGCTGCCCCCTTTAGCCAATTCGGTACCCTCATTACCCTGGACTAGCTAATCCATGCCACTTGCTCAACCCCAGTTCCCTCCAGGCCACCACTAGGTGACCGAGGGAAGAGGGCCTCAGACGCTCCAGCTCTTGAACAAGAAAGCAACCTACTGTGTATGCGCTTGCCTGGGGCCTAAGAGTCAGTCCTGGGGCCCCTTCCCCAAGATCTCCATTTCCATCCTCTGGGACCGGCAGTCAACAGACTGACAGACGCCGAGGCTACTGCTCCGTCTCAGGTTCCCAGGGCAGAGGGGAAAAGGACAGGAGGCAGTCGCCAGCTGGGCCCCTACCTGGAGCCACAGGGCTGGACAGGGGCCATAGAGCCCAAGGCCAAGACCTTATCCCTTTCCTGGTCTGGGGTTATTTGCGGACAGCAGGTCAGGAGCTACGGTGGCCCCCAGAGAAGAGACAGCTGGCTCCAGGGACACTGTGGGCATCAGCTTTCTCTCGTGCCCCAGGGGAGCTGGTAGGCCGGACACACTACTGCCTGGCATGTGACAGTGGCAGGTTGCCCAGGCCGGGCAGAGGGAAGGGAGGTAAGTGGGAGGAAGTGGGAGGAAAGACAAGATGGACAGTGGTGGGGAAGTAACAGTGGAGTGAGAATCATGTTCTGGACTCCGGAGCTGCAAAGGCAGAGTCAGGATCAGCAATAAGGGTTCCCTCCCCGGCAAGCATGACCCCAAAGGGTTCATACCCAGGACCACTGACCGCCTACCCTCAAATCCCACCAGTCTGTGCTGCCATCTCTAACGCGGCTGCCATCTCTCCTCCAGCCTCCCTATGGTCTGGTTCTGGTCCAACACTGTCCTCCCCCACACAGGTCCTGTCCCACCCCCTGCTCGGACTCCTCCTCTCCAAGTTGCCCCCCATTCAGCAGCTAAAGAGAACCCAAAACCTGATCTGTGGCTTCCCGCTGGCCTCAGGGAAGAGACAAGCTCATAAGCTTGAGATTCAAGGTCTTCAGGTTCTGACCTCTCCTGACCTTCATGCCAGACGCCTCCTGCCCTGCTCCATCCGCAATCCCCCTCCCCATCCACCTGGTGTCTGGAGGCCTCTTCCACAGGCCTCGTCCCTCCCACCGACCTTCTCTCTGGGCTCCATGTCCCTGCTCTCAACCCCTCAGGCCACTTAGTCCAACCCTGGGTATCCCTGTTCATAATCTTCCATGGCCCCCGCTCAGAATATAGATCAAAGTTCCTCCCACCACCAAGGAAGTCCTCATGAAGCCCTCATTGGGGGCACCCAGAAGGCCCCCAGTAAAAGCTACCAACTATGGCAAAGATTAGGCCTAGTGCTACCTACTTCTCCAGCCCCTCCCCTCACCCCTCTCTGCCAGGTTTCTGTCCCTTAGGTCCTTCCCTCTGACCTTCACCTCCTGTACCTTCTCGGGAGTTCTTCTCCTTCCTAAGGTCTCGCCTAGACCAATGCCTCCTCCAGGAAGCCCTCCTGACTGCAGAGCTGCACTGGGGTGCTCTCCACGCACCTACAAATGCCAACTCAGTGGAACAAGCACAGTGTATGCATGTCTGTTGAGCACGCAACAAACAAAGGAATGTAAGTCTCCCCATCAGATCCCAGTCCAGGACCAGACACAGCACGTGCATCTCCACAGTCTGTCAATCTTCTTTGAGTGTGTCCCAAGCTGGGCAGAGTTTGCACTGTCCTGGGTGCCAGAGACAAAGCACCACTGAGACCCAGCCCCTTCCCCAGTCCAGTGGGGAAGGCAGAAGAGGCACAGATACACAGAATGCCAGGTAGTGCAGGGGCGCAGAGAAGAAAAAGTAAAGCCGGGGCGGGGCGGGAGGCTGGCAGGCAACAGGGTACTGCGCTAGCCACGCAGTATCAGAGACGTGGGGGCGGAGCGTGAGCTTGCGGAGATGTAGGGAAAAGACTCTCAGGCAGGGGAATAGCAAGTGCAGAAACCCTGAAGAAGGAGGGAGTCCAGTGAGTGGGAAGAGCTGCCAAGAGGCCAGTGAGGCTCCAGGGGAGAAGTAGGCGGAGGGACACAGGGTCTGGTGGGCTATGAAAGGGGGGCAGGGAATCCCTCCCCAACACTGGGGCCACCGTGCACTTTTGCTGGTCCCAGCTCAGTTCAGAACAGTTGCAAACTCAGAGTCCAAAGGAGGGGCAGATGTGGAAGGGAAGGACAGGGGCCAAGTGCCCAGTGCGGGCTCTCCCCTCCCGTCCCCAGCCCAGCAGCTTCACCTCTCAGAGCCTCTGTGATTCTGCAGCACCAGGCTGTCAACAGCATTAAAGCACCCACTGTGTGCACAGGGCTCAGCCTCCTGCCTGGCCTCCAGTGAGCGCCCAAACACAGGGCTGCCACGGTCAGACAGAGGAAAGTGAAGGCAGCCAGGTGTGACGGCGAGTGGTCGGAGCGGCAGGTCCGAGAGCAACCGGCAGCCTGAGCAGGGGCCAGCGCTGCAGTGTCTCTCCTGAACGCTCCCAGCACTCTGCCAGAGGGCCCGTGACCATGCCCAGGGGCGGGAGAGGCTCAGAGAGGGAAGCCATTTACCTTGGGTGTCCCAGCCGAGGGAGGAGCGGCAGAGGCCCGGGCTGCTGCTCAGCACACCAGAGTCACTTTTTACATTCTCATTTCAGCGACTAAGCAGAAGCAGCCAGCAGCAGCTTGGGCAAGGGCAGGGGGAGGAACTGGAAGATCCCCTGCGTCCCGCCTGGATCCTGCCCGTCCTCCCACTGAGGGTGGCGCCTCAGCTGAGGTGTCCGTGACGCAGTCCTGCGGTGATGAAACAGCAGGCATGCTGCCAAGAGGATGGCCTGCTGGTTGGGGAGCTGCCGATGGAGGACGCCCAGGCAGAGGACAAAGACCTGCTTCTGGAAGCCAAGTGTCAGCACGCAGGGGCCTGCCCCGGCTGCCTGCTTGCAGGCAGGACACCCCAGGTAGGGAGTGCCTGCGGGGGGGGGGGGGGGCCCATTCCTGTTTGCTGCTTCCTCGGGTGTCCAGGCCTGGGTTAGCTGAGGGCTCAGGCCAGAGCTGCAGCTACTGGCTAGAACTGAGCCATCTGGGAGGTGAGGCAAAAAGAGCAAGGCCTCCTTGGAGGAGAGGACACCCACGCAACCGAGGAACAAGGCAAGCTCATCAGCTACAGGGAAATGCAAATGAAAACCACCCACCAGGATAGCTAAAATTTTAAAAAGTGCCAGTGCCAAGTGTTGACAAGGACGTAAAGCAACTGCCGTGGGGGGAATATAAAACAGCTCAGCCGCTACGGAAAAAGATTCGGCAGTGAGCACGGACACTCCATCAGGCCTACCCCAGGACCCAGCAACACCCTAACGCCCCAACAGGACACAGACTTATTTACCGAAATACATGAGCCAGAATGTTCACAGCAGCAGTGTTCCCAGTAACCCCAAAGCTGAGAACAGACCAGGCGTGGACCCCCGGGAAGAAGGGCGGCGCGTCGGGGACAGCGAGCTGTGGCAGCCCCAGCGACAGTCTGCGCCCCGCGCCGCAAGCTCCCGACAGGCAACAGCCGCTATTTGCTTAGGGGTGTCTTTCTCTCTTGTAAACTGTGCAGAAAATCAAGGAAACCAAGACCCAAAAAGTCAGGAGAGCGGCTGCATTTGGGAGGGCAAGAGGAGGGGACTTCTGGGAGCTGCCAAAGCTCCCTCGTCCTGACACAGGGCGTCGCTTAGCCGTACTGGCGCGCGCTGCGCTGTTCTGCGTGGGGCGGGACTGACGCCTTCTGTGCTTTACATCAAAAGAAGTACCTGTAGAAAACAATCTGGGCTTGGGAGTCCAGAGGATAGAGCGGGGAGCTGAAATCAGGCTTCCTGGCTCCCAGGATGCCCCTACCCCAAGACAGGCCTGCCTCAACTCTCCCCTCAAGGAGGTCAGGTCAGCAGAGGAGCCGAGGGGCTGGAGGAGGCACATCTCTACCCAGGGCTCTGCTGCTTTTTGGCTAAGCGGTCGCAGACAAGGGACACCCTCGGTGTGGAGACCCTCTCATTGCTCACTTTTCTCTGCCTGCTCAGAGCGCACCACTGGGTGCGGCGATTTTCATTCCCATTCATTTTTCTTCTGTGCAGAGTTAAATATAATCCAAACTCCAGCCCCCCCCCACCAGCCCCCTGGCCGCGGGGCGACAGTAGGCCTCCTGCGTCCTCCTGGCTGCGCGGATGGGGGGCCCTCCAGCAGGGTTGTTCTAAAGATGGGCACGCTGAGCCCTGTGCCGGGGCGGTTGTAAGGGCTCAGTGAGCTCTAGATCTCCTGTTCCTATGGTTCCTACAATCTGGGTGGACCCCAGGAACACCTGAATCAGAGTTCCTCCCTCCTCTGCTCAACACCCTCCCCCATGTCCTCCCTCCTGCGGGAGCCCCCGGACCCTAGGAGGTGTGCACTACCCCCTTTTCACTTCTCTAAACACACTTTGTTTCAGTGGTGCCTGCCTCCTGTGGCTTCTCTGCGACCCTGGGACACCCCTACCTCAGGGCCTTTGCACATGTTG